CGATCTTGCCCTTCCCTGCAGGGCGGCCCCAGCTACCATCCCAGGCTGTTCCCACACCTGAAACTTCTGGAAACACCTGCCCTCCGTGGGGCTTGTCACCCCCCCCAGGCTCCTCCCTCACCCACCCCCCTCACCCCAGCTCCTCTCGGGCCACTCTGGCCTCTCCCCTGTGCCCCACCCGCCCTGAGCACACCTTGCCCCTCACACCTGTGTGCTGCTACACCTGCACTGGCCTAGAATGTCAGATGTCACCTCCCCAGCCCCCGCTCTGCCCAGACCACTTCTACCAGTCCTTCAAGACTCAATCACACGAAGAGGGTCAGGGAGGAGGGACGCCCCTGGGCCGACGTGGGGCCGACGGAGCAGTAGCCAGACAGGGTGGGGGCGGCCCAGAGAGGCCTCCACCAGGACCCCGGGGAGCTGATGCCCCACAAGGAGAACCTTGTTACTTGGGGTTACCCTCAAGGCCCCCACTCCTGCTTTGTGGGGGAGCTGGAGGGCACCTCTTACATCGGAAATAACTGAGTAAACACACAAAAGGGTCCTGCGTGACCGCTGGCGGCAGCTCATGTGACCCAAGGGCCAGGATTCCTCCAGGTCTGCGAGCCTGGGGCCCCAAAAAGAGAAAAAGATTCAGCCCACAGGTCTCCTCTACCCACATACATGCTACCCCAGAAACCCGGCCCCACACCTGCCTCCCCACCAGAGGGCCCTCCACGCAGGCCCCCTCCCCCCCAGCTGCCTTCTGGTGAGCCCTTGCTGAGAGGGGCTCAAGGAGCATTCCCTAAATGGACAAGGGCAGCAGACCCCCCCTCCTCATCCAACCACACCCACCCCAGCACCTCACACCAAGGCTGTCACACCCAGAAGGGCCTGTTCAGCTTCAGCCTCAGCCTGAGGTTGGGGGGCGGGGGGCTGGGCAGGCGGGAAGCCAGCCAGACGCACAGGACTCTGTAAACACTTCCGTGAAGGTTACCTTTCCACTGTTGGTAAACGAAAGGGTCTGCAAATCACATAACCATCAACAAGGTTTGCAGGTCCTTAAGGGGACGCACTATTTCCAAGCCTTTGAGGGAAGAACACAGATAAAATCAACTCCTTTCATGTTTTTTGCTAAAACGGCTTCTTCTGAAAAAACCTACACAGAGAGATTTCTCATCTAGGTTATCCTGGTGCGGGAAAATAATCACAGAGTAGAGTTTCTCTCTCCTAATTACGCAGAATTTAGGACAAAATACTCACGTGAGTGATTCTGAAATACTTTATAAATGGGTCACAACAGGCTCTTTTTCTCACCAGCATGTTTGGGATGCAGCAGGGCCAGTCTCTATGCGCAGGGGACAGGCCACAGGCTGGTCCCCACAGACGGAAGGCACGCGAGTCAGTGACTCCCAGGATGGAAATCCTGCTTCGAATTCGGGGCCCCGCCAGGTGTAACGGACGTGGTTCCATGACAGCCCGACCCGATCGGAACGGCAAGGAGACCCCGGAGAGAACGTGAGCCCGGCCGCGAATGACCGCCTCGGCCCGATGAGGCCATGGCTGCCTTTTTCGCTATGACTCAGTGCCAGCAACTCACCTATTCTTCATCACACAATTAAGCAGCCAATTATTTTAAAAAATACACACTTGCCTCACTTAAAAGAAGGATGCTGATCTGTCAACTAAGTTGGTTGGCACGTGGCCGCAGAGGTGGCCTCATGCCCGGGGACAAGGGCCCCAGCGCACTGCCTGACCCAGCCTGGGGAGCGGGGAGGGGTGGGCAGGCATCACCTCCTCAAACACGCCGAAATGCCCTCAGCCACGTGATGGGGACCCTCAGATGAGGGATATGATCCCCGTCCGCCTGTGGGGCCCCCAGTTATCAAGGTCCCAGTGTACCGACACCACCGGACAGTTTCCAGCCCTCTGTGGCCACAGCTAACTGTGGAGTTGGCAGGGGGGGGGGGGGGCGGGGGGGGGGGCAGGACACAGACCTTTCTGGGCCGTGTACGCTGGGCCACCAGCAACGACTCGGGCAGCACGGGCCGCACTTGGACAATGTGGTGACTGTTGGGAAACCCGCAGTGCGCTTTCTGATGCAGCAGCAAGGTCAACGTTTCCAGGCCTGGGATCAGACAATGCAGAATAAAGAGGGTCCCACAGTCACATGCTGGGAGGGGGCAGGACACAGTTACCTGCCTCGGGGCCTGTGGGTGCTGGGGCCCCTGCCCTCTCCCGCTACAGGCTCTCCCTCCCAACCTCTCAGCCCCATCCCTGCCCGCCACGGCCCCTCTCCTGTGCCTGGCCTGCCCCTGGTTCTCAGCCCTGGGTTTCTCTCCTCCCCCCGCCCCTGCCAAGCCGCCCCCAGCCCAGGCCCATCCAGAGCAGCCAGCAGGCACCCACAGACCAGGCTTGCACGGTGGCAACCCCAGGCCTAGGCCACACACACACACACACACACACACACACACACACACACACACACAGCTACGACGCCAGCCCCAGGGGCGCCACCTCCTCGGGTGGGGACCCCCACCCACCCCCGAGCACCTCTTCAGCTCTCTGCCAGAAGACACGGGGTCCTGCAGCTCCGGGAGGACACAGAGCAGACGGAAGGGCCTGGACGTGGGGCTGCACCGGCCACCCTCCAGACTCCGCCCCTCCTGCCCCTGGGAGGAACTCAGGGCCTGAGGCTTGTTCAGGCCACCAAGACTGATGTAGGCATGCCAACGCCCTGGGTGACAGCAGCCTCTGTCATCACCCAGCCTCTCATCTCCCTGGCTGTGTGATCTTTTCTGAGCCACCTCACCCCTCTGTGCCAGCCTCTCCAGCTCTCAGATGGGGCTGTCAGCAATGGAGACCACGGGTGTGAGACCCAGGCCCCCGAGGGAAGCCCCGGAGCCCCCGTTACCATCATCAGGCGGCATTTCCGTGAGAGCCTTCCTGCTCCATCTGCCCTTCCTCCTGTTCGTTCTGGTTCCCGCCCAGCAAGTCCAGGACAGGGAGCATCACGGCCGGCCCCTGGCCTGCCAGCACTGGTGGCCAGGTGTGGCAGGCACCTGCACAAGACGGCCCGGGCCCAAGCCCACCCTCAGGGAGCTCACTGTCCAGCAGGGGAGACCCACATCCTCTCATCAAGTGTCAGGTGACGGAGGGGAGTGTCGGGGAGGAATCTGACACCCCAGCCTTCCCAACAGGGTTGGGGAGGTCCGTGCAGAGCAAGGGGGGCCCTCGGCACACACGCATGAAGAGGGCAGGTCACCCCAAAAGCAGAGTTTAGGGTCCAGATGAGGCCCACAGTGGATAACAAACAGGACTTCAATCCTATAAAAGACCTAAATGAACCAGAAGGTGCGGCAGTTGGGACACAGCCAAGGGCACAGGTCCCAGGACAGCCTCTTACCACGTGTCGAACCCCCACTTACTCATCTGCAAAGTGGGGGCTATGAGGCCACCGCCAGGTTTGTTGTGGGGGGGTCACCTACCCGCTCACCCTCCCCTGGGGCGAGCCCCCCCATCAGACCAGCCCCGCAGCATGCCGTCCACGCTTGGGCCCCGTGAGGTAGCGACCCCGCATCCAAGGCCCCCCCAGCAGGCTCCAGGGCCTCCCCAAAGACGGCAGCAAGTCTGCCAGGGGTCATGGATGCCGGGACCGGGTGCAGCTCCAGATGGTGGGAAAACCTCCTCGTTCATGGAGCACCTGCTGAGTGCCAGGCCCCCTGTGGTCCCGGTCCTGGGTCAGCAGGAACTCTGCTTTGGAGGACAGGCTCAAGCATGAGCCCCAGGACTCCTAGCTAAGCCGGGACCCGGGCAAAGGAAAGGCTTCAGCACCAGCCAGGCCTGGGCCACAGCTAGGCTCTGCCCAGTCTGCCTCCTCCCTCTAGGACAAGAAAAGCCCAGCCTCTGTGACAGTGGTGTGGGGCTCAGGAGCCCGTGTGACAGTGCTATGGGGCTCAGGAGCCCATGTGACAGTGGTGTGGGGCTCAGGAGCCCGTGTGACAGTGCTGTGGGGCTCAGGAGCCCGTGTGACAGTGGTGTGGGGCTCAGGAGCCCGTGTGACAGTGGTGTGGGGCTCAGGAGCCCGTGTGACAGTGGTGTGGGGCTCAGGAGCCTGACGAAGGACCCCAGGGAGAGGAAAGGGCCGTATTAAGAACTTCAGCCACCCGCCTCCCCGCCACGGGGGCATCTGAAGACTGCCCACTCCCCGCAGGAGGACCGCCCACCCTACCCCCACAAGAGGCCACCCACTCCCAGCAGGAGGTTCGCCCATCCACCCCCGTCCCCGCAGGAGGACCGCCCACTCCCCGGAAGGCGCCAGGTGGCTATGGAGCTGTGGAAGATCAGGCATGGGGCTTTTCAAAGCCGAGACACTGGCTGGCGAGAGGCCATGTCTCCCCTTTTCTGGCCCAGCCCGCAGACAGGAGCACGAATCCCCTGCTTCCCCAGAACCAGCCTGCCTCTCACAAACCAGCCGACCTCAACGTCCAGGAGCCCCACCACCGCCCTTCTTGATGCTGTGCCTTCCCAGCACCACCAGGGGCATGCCCAGCGGCCCCTCGAACTCTCCTGCCAGCAGACGGGGTGGTGATGCCAGGCAGGCATCTGCCTCCGGTACCTGCCTGGGCCCCTCCTGACCTCCACAGACCCTTGCCCCTAGGCTCTCCCAGCAGGGACAGGGACGGCCCCTCCTGCCTTGCCTTCCCCTCCAGTCCACACTACAATCCCGCCCGCGCCGCAGCTCCGCCCAGCCTGGATGCCCAGGGCTCTCTGGCGGTTGAGTCATGTTTCACTTCCTCTCCACCCAACATGCTCAGCAGCAGCGAAGTCACAGTATCCGCAGCCTCCACGTTTGGCAGGCTGGGCTCTGCTCTCAGGACCAGGAAATCTCTCTCCTTCGCTCCTACCTCCTCATCCAGCACCTCTGGGTCCTTACCACTACCCTCCTCCCCCACAGCAGCCCGCACCCCACCCCCATCTCACATGTGCCTGCACGCACACACTCAGACGCTTACACTTACTTAGACTTTCTCGTGAAATACTTGTGACGTGACTCACACTTCTCCCTGCATTCTTAAGCATGGGCTGTTGAACAGAGTATCCGTCTTAGTCCCGGCCGGGGTGTGCCCAGCGTGCCTGCTGTACGCTCAGCCAAAAGGACATCCTGGTCGCCCATGGGACACACTGCTGGGGAAAGACACGCGTTGTTCTCCTGTCCGGCAGGGACTCCGACCTTCCTCTCTGGATGGAACTAGAAAGGGGGCCAGAGTCCCCGGACACCCAGCCTGGGTGCTGAGGCCAGCACAGGGCCCCCAAACCCAGGGGGGCCTGGAAGGGCGCACAGCACAGCCTCAACCCACCGGAGCCAGGTTGGGCACCCCTCCGCCCCACCCCCACACATGAACCTCACACTTCTGCTTCCTGGACGCAGGGTTTGTGAAATCATCCACGCACCTTGCTGCCACAGGGCACACCCGTCGGGGTGTGGGTTTTGTGGTGGGTGAGCCTTGTTCTTCTGAGAGCGAGACTCTGAGTTCTGTGGTCATAAAGGTCTGGACCAGAGGCTGGGCCGGCCTTCACTGGTCCTGGGCTCAACCCAGCGTGCAGTACGGGCTCCCCCCACGCAGACAGATGCTGCCCCAGACAGCGGTCACCAGGCAGCCACCCTGGGCAGTGGTGACCCCCCCCCCACAGTCGTCTCAGAGCTCTGCTACCAGCTCCAGGCCGGCGTCACCCCCAGAGCTGCCTGTGCCTGTCACCAGGGACCCAGCAGACCCACAAATGTCAACACAGAAAGAAAGGGGGATGCAGGTGTGACGTGGGAAGGATGTGGGAGGCGGACCCCAGCGGGGGAGCCAGGCTAGCAGAGAGACAGTGGCAGCAGGACCACGGCCCCAGGAGCCTCACTCCCAGGAAGGGCCCCTTGGGCACACAGCACCCCCAGCCCCACAGAGCCCCTAGTCACTGAGCCCCTGGCCAGTTCCACCAGCATCCTGAGACCCCCCCGGGGACCAGGGGAGACTGGAGCCCCAGCCCCACAGCAGGGAGACAAGAGCTTCGAGAAGGCCCAGCCAGGGGGCCCGGTCGGCCACACATCCCACAGCACCCTCGACGTGGCCCAGCCCCACATGCCTGCTCGATTGCCAGGAGCCTTGCACGGAGCTGACCTTTGGTAGGTGACCCCCAGGTCCCCACCAGAACTGGTCCAGGGAGGGCACAGTGGTAGCTGGGGGCCTGGCTGGCCCTGCAACCTCCTCACTCCTCAGCCTGAACCACCTGTGTCCCTCCAGATGGGCTCCTACGGCCCCTCTCTCACCCCTCCAGTGGTCCTCCTTGACCCCCAGGCGGGGCGGGTGCTGTCCCACGGCCCCCGCCTCTCTCGTCCTCCCACCATGTGCCCCCGTAGGCAGCGGCCTTGTCCGCCATGCACCGCGGCCCACTGCCCGGAACAGAGCGGGGCCTCACCAGACAGGGGAGGAGGCAGGGACGGCGCACGTGGCACAGGCGCCGGGGCGCGGGCTGGGCGGGTGGCCCGGGCCCCCCAGGTCCCCGGTGGGAGCTCACCCAAGAGCAAGAAAACAAGAGCGGCTCCTCTGAGATCCTGAACAGCCTGCGTGGGAAAGGGCACACTGACGCTGCAGATGGGGGAGGGGGGTGGCGCTCCTGCCCACCTGTGCACCGCCCCAAGCGACCGTCACCCTTGCTGCCTGTGTCCTTCGCGCCGTCCGGCCCCGTTTTCTCTCGAGGACAGCCACCCTGCAGCCTCCTTCGGAGCCTGCCCCACCGGCCGCTGCTCTCTTCCGAAACTCCCCCGCCCGTGGCTGCACTCAGGCCTGCTCAGTGCTGGGAACCGGACACCCAGTCTTACAGAGGGTCAGAGGGCACGCAGGCATCCCGCTCCAGCGCCCCCCACCCCGCGAGCCCTCCTCCCGGGCCACTGGGCCCCGCACGTGCTGTGGACAGACCCTCCATGGAAATGGAAGCTGACTCGGAGCCCCATGTCTCTCCTTTCCCGGAAGGCAGCTGGCCCCGGGGCCCTGTGCTCAGGGCTGCTCCTGCGAGGGCAGCCCCTGCTCTGGTGTGAGTTCAGAGGTGGGGAGGAGCCAGGCCCCACCGGGATCTTGGGCCGAGATGCGGCTGAGGCCCGCGCAGCCTCTCTGCCATGCTGCTGGGATCTCTGTGCCGTCAACCCCGCTTTCATATTTCAAAGGGACCCCAAGTCTGTGTCCCCTGCGCCTGCAGGGCAGGCTGACCAGGCGCAGCCGGCGGCCCCAGCTCCCCTCTCCCCACCTCCCTGCAGGCCACAGGCCTTCTTGGAGATGCGACACCCCGTGAGCCCCCTGCAGCCTGAGTTCTGACAGCACACCCGCGGGTGGCCCTGCGGAGTGAGAAGGAGCCGGATGGGATGCGCAGGCTGCGTCCAGGCCACAAAGCTGCCTCCCGCGGCCGGGATAGCCATCCTGACCCCACTCTGCAGGCACTGGAACAAGCCAATTAACGAAATCGATGGCAAATGGGGGAGCCCATTTCCCACCGTGGGATGAAACGTATCGATCAGCGAGGGGAGGAGGCCAGAAGGATTCGCGTGGTAACGAGCAGGCTGCATCATCAGGATGAGCTTACATTTCACTTAACACAGACACAAATGGTGACTCGCAGAAGCCGTCAGAGACGTGTGCACATCCACGGCCAGGGGACGTGAATCTCCTGCTCCGCCCGCTACAGCATGCAGACTGCAAGTCCCACGGCAACAAGTGTGCCCGGCCCCTGGCCCCCCCACCTCTCTCCCGTGTGCGGAGACGGGCTCCCTGGAGAAACCTCGACTGCACGGCTGGGGCAGGGCAGGTGTGTGGGAGAGGGCAGATAAACTCGCGCCCCCAGGGTGGGGCCAAAGCTGGAGCAGGTTCCCCAACACAGTATGTAACTCGAAACCTAAAATCAGACTTGACAACGGAAGAAAGACTGAGCAAGGGGCGCCTGGGGGCTCCATCAGATGAGCATCCCACTCTTGATTTCAGTGCAGGTCATGATCTCGCGGTGCGTGGGGTCGAGCCCCATGTGGGGCTCTGTGCTGACAGCTCAGCGCCTGCTTGGGATTCTCTGTCTCCTCTCCTCTCCACCCTCCCCCAAAATAAGTAAATAAAATTAAAACAAATTTTTTTAATAAAAAAAGGACTGAATAAATTAGTAAATGGGGTTTAGAGACAAGTGTCCAACAGCAGAGGATTCCAAAGTACGCAGATGCTCGGTCCCGGAGGAGCTGGGGCAGAACGCCCTCACTCCTCGTGGGCCGCACAGAGGGCAGCGTGGGCGGGGGCCCGGGCCGGGAAGCCTCAGCCCGGTGACCGTGGCCGACGCCTTGGGGACCAGTGAGGCCGACGGCAGGCTCCCCGATGGTGCGGGACGAGGAGAGCACTTCACCTGTGGGCTTCCTCCCAAACCAGGACCCCAGTCCAACCCCGAGCAAGACACCCAAACTCCAGTTGTCTAAACAAATCCCAGTGTGGGATCGTACAGTATTCCTAATACTTCTCAAGGCTTCAAGGTCATCAGAAACAAGAAAAGCTGAGAAACCGGCCCCACCCGGACGAGCTTCAGGAGACGTGACAACTAACTTATACAATATTCCGGATGGGACCCTGGGACAGGAAGAAGATTTGGGGTAAAAACTAAGGCTATCTGAGTAAACTACAGACTTTAGTTAATAACGCATCAGCGCTGGTTCATTAGCTCTGACGTTTCACGCTAACTAAGGCGCTAACAGCAGGAGGAACTGTGGACAGGACTCCGTGGAAACCTCTGTGTTATCTCTGCAATTTTTCTGTGTCTTTAAAACTACCCTTAAAGATGTAGTCGGTTAATTGGGGTGCCTGGGTGGCTTAGTCTGTTAAGCGTCCGACTTTCGCTTAGGTCATGTCTCGCGGTTCGTGGGTTCGAGCCCCGCGTCGGGCTCTGTGCTGACTGCCAGCTCAGAGCCTGGAGCCTGTTTCAGTCTGTGACTCCCTCTCTCTCTGACCCTCCCCTGCTCACGCTGTCTCTCTCTCTCTCTCTCCTAGAAATAAATAAAACATTAAAAAAAAAAAAAAAAGATGTAGTCGGTTAAGAACAACAGCGTGCCTCCCAGTGTGGGGCGGTCACCCGGCGTCACTCGGCACAGCGTCCCCGACGCCCGCAGCCAGACTGGGGCCTGCCCTTGAGGCGCTCCAGGGGACAAGGACGGTGAAGTCTCAAAACCAAGGGACCCTGCAACGACAACCAAGGAGCAGAAAGAGCGGGGAAGTCGGCGGAGAGCCTCACGGACCCACCGCCCCACGACCCCCCATCTGTAACGGTTCACTCCCCGACACCGTCCCCACAGAATGATGAAAAGCAGGGCCCCTGTCTTCCCGGCAGCTCAAGGAGGCAGCTCAAGCACATGCAGGGTGACCAGCACAGGGGTCCAGGAGGTCCTAACCCTGCGGGAAGCGGAAAGCCAGGAAGGCTTCCTGGAGATGGCAGGGATGCTAACAGCTCAAGGTCCCTGTGCACAGTGGGTAAGCTCAAAGAGTTCTCAGACGCCACCAGGGCAGCTTTGAGCTCAGAACCCTGGTGCCTGGTGAGGCGAGCTGAGCCCCCTAAGATCCTGACAAATCTGAGAAAGATCCTGAGGAAGAAGAGCAGACCCCGCATGCGGGACGGAGGTGCCCAGTGACTGGCTGCTGAGGGACACGGGGCTTCTCCCCCGGGTGACGGGAACACTCGGAAAGGATATTGTGGTGATGGCTGCACAATGTAGTGAACATGCAAAGGCTTAGTGAACTGCACACCTTCAATGGGTGGTTGTAAGATATGCAAATTGCACCTCAATAAAGATACTTCAAACACAGACGCCTCTCTGCCTGCCCAGCCCCGCCCGCCTTTCCCAGCCCTACAGCTCCACGGCTCCCCGAGCCCGGCTCCCAGGACTGAAGCTCCTGGTCCCAGGAGCCCCCCACCCAGGGCCTAGCGAGGCACCCAAGCTCGTGCTCACCGCTCCTGGCGGGGAGCGCATCCATCCACCCAATCATTCTCCAGCGCCTACACACCCAGCAGGAGGAGGAAGGGTGAGGGGCGCTCTCTAAGCGCTCAGAGGCCTCCCTGGCCAGGGGAAGGGGGCAGGCATGTGTTAGACACAGGGCTCTGCCACCTGGGGCAGCACTGCTGGC